CAAAGAAAATTTCAAAACATTACTACAAGAAACAAAAAGAGACCTGGCAAAATGGAAAATTACTGCTTGATCATCGATAGGAAGCGTCAGTATTGTGAAAAAGACAATACGATCAAAGGCAATTTACACATTCAATGCAATCCCATTACAGATACCAATTTCATTCATCAATGAAACAAGGTAGGAGGGATCTCTCTCCCTGATTTCAAATTCTACTACACTGCTGTGGTGGTCAAGACAGCATGGTACTGGTACAATGACAGGCACATAGACCAATGAAATAGAATTGAGAACCCAGAAATCAGACCATGTACCTATGGCGAACTGATTTTTGACAAGGAGATAAAATTAGTTAAGTGGGGAAACAGTAGCCATTTTAACAAATGGTGTTGGAAAAATATCTACAGAAAACTCAAGCAAGATCCACACCTCACTCCATACACAAAAACCAACTCAAAGTGGATCATGGTTCTAGGACTAAAACCAAGGAATATAAACTTCATTAAAGAAAAGCTAGGAAGAACTCTAGAAGTCCTAATCCACAGCATAAACAGTCTTCTAAGCATCCTGAAAATGCTACAACCAGGAGAGGATAAAATGGATGATTAGGACCTTCTAAGAATTAAATCCCTATGCACATCCAAAACCTCTTCCAACAGGATAAAAAGGGAAGCCACAGAGTGGCAAAAATGTTTGGTAATGACATGTCAGATAAGGGACTTATATCTAGAATTTCTAAAATAATCAAGCACCACAACAAGGTAAAAGTAAACAACCCAGTTGGAAAATGGGCACAAGATATGAACAGACACTTCACCAAAGAAGACATTCAAATGGTAAACAAACACACGAAGAAATTTTAAAAATCCCTAGCTCCGAGAGAGATGCAAATCAAAACAGCTGTGAGATATCATCTTACCTCAGTAACAGTAGCAAAATTTAACAGAACAGCAAACAACAAATGCTGGCAAAATTGCAGAGAAACCGGAACCCTTCTTCACTGTTGGTGGGAGTGTAATATGGTACAAGCTTTATAGAAGGCAGTGTTCACACAATGGAATAGTATGCTGCATTGAAAAGCAAGGAACTCATTAAATATTATACAAAATGGGTGACCTTGGGGGACACTATGCTGAATGAAATATCTCAGTCACAAAAGGACAAATACTACGTAGTGCCACTGTTATAAAGCAAGACGGACATCAGAGTTGGGGGAAATGAAGGGGGTAAATAAAATATACTGCATTGAAACAGATGGGGGAGAGAACTGTTTAGGAGGAATATGTAATTTGGTATTATTTTCATGAGAAGAATACAGAATGAAAGCTACATAGTGGAGTGGACTGGCGGGGGGGGGCCTGGATTGTATATGAATGAAATAATCATTTTTTTTTACTTTTCAAAGAGAAAAGTAAACTGAGGGGAGGATTGCATGGGGAGTGAAGTATCAAACTATGAATGAATGGAAATCTAAAGTCTCTATAAACGTCCATGAAAATATATATAATTTTTTTACAAAAAGGTAGTGAAGCAAGGATAGGATAAAAGGATTAATAGAAATACAATTTACAGGAAGATATTATAATTCATATTGTAAAACAAAATGTGTAAGAATGAGTGGAAACCCAATTTGCTTTGTTTCTTTCTCTACATTATGTTTCATTCATGTACATTGTGGTACTTTTATTCACCCTCTTCCTCCATTCACCAAACTCTGCAACCCCAAGATTTCTCCTCCATACCCCCTCAGTTTCCCTTTCCTCTTTGTATATTTGAACACATTTTCTAATTATCTTCTGTTTTTACAATAGTGGTCTTAAATTAAATGGTCTTAAAGTAATTGTTCTTATGCACCTAAGTTAGTTTAGTCAGCATAGTGTTCTTTAGTCTCTTCTCTAGTCTAAAAATACTGTTATATAGTATTCTTCAAAATCGTTGTAAATGCTCATTCACTCAAATCACAATTTAAAAAGAAACAACCAACCAAAAAATAAAAACCAAATGAAGAAAACTGGTTAATTGTGTTTACTTTGTTATCTCTGAAGTAAAACCATTCCAGAATTTGTCATATTCTAAGGATTTGTTTGGTGAACTAATAAGACACAGAAAATAAACATTTCAAAACCAACCAACCTTATGCATTAGCAATTTGCCTATGCTTTTTCAGACATTGAAGTATTTTTGTTCAATTTATACTTCTTTTAGTCAACCAGCTACATAAAATATGTACAAAATACATGGAAAAATATACTATTTATACAATTTGATGGTATCACTACCATAATTCAGAGTCTTGGTAATTCCCATTCACTTGAGTTTCTAGTACGTTAAAGCCATATTGTATTGAGTTTCAATAAAAACACTTCCTTGATGAACTGCTTCTGACAGTCCCGGACTTGAAATCCTTGTAGAAAGCAGTTCTGCTCTAAAATACATGAGTTAAAATGATTCAGTCAACTCAACAGCAACTGGTTTAGTATTTTATTGTTTTATTCACAATTGTTAACTATATTATGTTAACAATAGTTAACTATATACAACGAAATATTTATATAAATTATGCATAGCCAACTTCAACAGTTTTTGTTGCATATGTTCTGAGTCAATGAGAAACCACTATTCTAAAAGAAAATCGATGAGTAGGGAAGAAAAAGAAATAGGTCTATGTCTTATTACTACAAATTTCCACCTTAGGAAGCATGTAAGGCGCACCTAACTTGTGCAATTTCTCTCAATTTCAATAAGGTGTTAATATCTTTTTGATTGTATAAAATAGTAATAGATTACCATAACACCCTATCATACATCGCAAGAGTCCACAATTAAGGTTGCATAGTGGAATGTACTTGGGGCGGTGGGAGAGGTGCGGTGGGATTGTGTACCAGGGAGGGAGTTTTTCTTTTACTTTTCAAAAAAGAAAAAAAAATAGTAACAGACCTTTTTCAGGTATAAATTAATAGTAATTTACAGCATGTTTCATAAAAAGTTTCTAATCTTGCTTCTGCTACAGGTGAAAAGTTTAAGATTTGTGTTATCATGCTAATGAGGTACCATCTCACTCCAGTAACAGTAACAAAGTTTAACAGGGCAACAAATAATAATTGTTGGAGAGGATGTGACGATAAAGGAACTCATACGTTGTTGGTGGGATTGTAAAAAATAGTACAACCATTCTGGAAGGCAGTTTGGTGTTTTCTCAAAAAGCTGAACATAGAAATTCCATATGACCCAGCTACTCCACTACTTGGAATATACCCTGAGAGAATGAGAACTGAGGCACAAACAGAGATTTGTACATCAATGTTCCAGCATTATTTACCATCGCAAGAACATGGAAACAGCCTAAATGTCCACCCATAAATTAATGGATTGAGGAACTATGGTACATTCACACAATGTAATACTATGCAGCATACAGGAGCAATGACTTTGTAAATTATTACCTAACTTGGGAAGGCCTGGAGAACATTATGCTGAGTAAACTAGTTAAGTCCCACAAGGAAAAATATTGTATAAAACCATTATTGCAAAATGAGTATACAGATCGAAGAGGGGTGAGAGAGGTTGGAAACAAAGGGATGAAGATGTGCAGAGGAAAGTTGAAAAAAATTGTTCTTGAAAACAATGTATTCAAATTTTGTAAATAAACTAGTAGAAAATAAAAAAGAAACAGAAGAGAAATCTGAGTTAATAAACTTAAAAAAAATAAAGAAAGTGCTGTATAAGACCATTATTGTAGAATGAGTGCAAGGATCCAAGAAGGGTAGGGGGAAGCAGAAGAGTGAGGATATGCAAATGCAGTGGTAGGTGAGAGGGTGCTTAAACATAGGTTTGCACAATTTGTTGAGTGAAGAGAGGGGTGGGTAAAGGAAAGGGGAAAGATCCATTGTGAAAAACAATGGATACAAACTTTGTAAGTAAACCAGCATAATTTTTTTTAAAAAATTAAAAATTAATTGTTGAGTTGAAGGAAGGAAGATGTATGTAACAATAAATGAAAATTTTAAAAAATAAGAAAAGTAAACATAATGTTTTTTAATTTCAAAAACATTTCATTTTTCTTTGTCATGCCTGATCTTTCTGTTCTTTAATTTGGCTATGTGGAACTTTCACTTGTTCCTGTTCCCTGAGTCCTTTTCTATCATAATTCATAAAGGTCACATTACAGATAAGCTACATTATTTTAAACGTTGAGTGCAGCAAATCACTTAGTTCACAATGCTTTATAATCAAGCACTTTATAATCAACACTGTCAGTGCTGAAATTTGACATGTAATAATTTATTCTACAGCATGGAGGTGTGTTCTGTAAATAGAGATGAAACAATTGGACTATGGAAAAGCTTAATAAATGGTTAACGAATTGTCTTAATAACTCTAGTAGAGATTTAAGCAGTTCTCTAGATACACCATTACTGCAGCTGATGTTATTATTACACTATGCCCTAGTAAGTGTCTGATTTTCTGTAGATATGGGCATAGTCTAAGGAAAGGAAAAGAAAAATCACTTAATCTTTTAAGCTGTTGAATTTTTACTTAAGTTAGAATAGCTGTTGAATCCATTCTCTCATTGAAACACAAGAGAGTCTTTTGTTAAATGAAATATATTTTTCTCTAAAGGAGATCATAACTGGGAAGGTATACTTTAATAAGGAATAATTTTAAAGCTTCTATTGGTGATCAATGATCAGTCCAAACTAGTATGAAAATCACTTACCTCAAACACTTGGTTCAAAATAGTTATAATTTTCCCTGATGATTTCTTTTTTGTCTGCATAACCTATACCTTCAATATTTAGTATTTTGTTACTTCTTTACTATTTACGAAAAAATTAATTTTCTTTTAGATAAGATACTATATCAGATCATAAAAGAAAAATGACTCTTATTTAAATTACTAAGAATAAATCCAAAGAAAAGATTTGTAACTTTTAACATAAAATTGGAAGGGAGAAAGTTTATCCGTATACTAATTTAAAAAAATTCTTTTTCTTACTCAGAAACTGCTGTCAAATTTACCTCCTGAATTGGAAGAGAAGAATTCCATTTGTGTCTCACCAGAGCCCGATGATACCTCATTCATTGTGTCTTCTCTATCAGAAAAAAATGCCCCAACAGTTTGTGATGTGAGAAGGAATATATGATATAGCCTTTTTTCTGCCTAATAGGTGTGCATCCAAAGATAACTGCCGCCTGACATTCAGCAGTTAGAAAGTGATATTTAAGAAATAGACATACTCTGTAAAGGATGAACAAAACATAGTGGTTACAACGTTTAGTGCATGTGAAATTTTAAAATATTGAGAGGGGTTTTTTTTCTCACCCTGATGGAACTCTGGGAAAGTTCTATTTAATTTTGAGCAGTTCATCTATGAAATATATAATATCAAATTTCTAAAAGATTTTTTGCTTGGTTTTATAGAAGAATCTTAGTTTTAATGATAGTTTTGGCCAGAGACACAAGGATATTTCAATGTCTTTGCATCAAGTTGTTAAAACTTGATTAATCTTGGTTTTGTAGTCATTTTATCTTTTTTCTTCCCTTCTACTTTCCATGTCATCATATATACATTTACTCAGGAAAATATAATGAAAATTGAAAACAAAGCCAAATAATTACTTAACCTGGACAAGCCCTGACACGTATCATTAAATTTCTATGAAAGTTTGGCTTACGCTAATAATTTAAAATCTTTGTGAGTACTAGTATATATGGGAGCTCTGGTGGCCTGATGGCAAGAAGCTGTGCTGAAATCCTGAAGGATGTGGTTTGAATCCACGAGCTGCTCTGTGAGAGAAGGATGGGTAATCTCATGTGCAATTAACTGCCTCTGAAAACCCACCAGAGGGTCACCTATGTGTGGGTTCCAACCCCATGGAACATGACGACAACAACAACAACAACTAGGATGTAATTGTAAATTGCTGGTATTCTTCCATTATCTAACTCAAATACTGGAGGATGTAGTAAAAACTAAGTCACCCATATAAAGTCAATTATTAAGCATAGAGAAAAAAAACCAAAACTGTTGTAAAAGATTAGCCTTAAAGAAAATTCCCATTTCTTTGAATGATAAAGATAAAATTCACATTCTATTAATAAATTTATGTAATGGAGCTAGAGGAAATGGTGTATAAATATTATGTTCATCACCATTTTCATAATATTTTCAGTTCTTACTTTTTATGAATCAAGAAGCGAAGGTAAGCCACTGAAATTATTTTGTTAACTAGTCACTCAATTTTGCTACAAAATTTACCTCATTTTCATGTGAGTCCTGCACAGAGCCATCAGCTAAAAATCATATCCGAAAGGATTTATACTACTTTTGATTTAAATTAGAATGGTTTTAATTTTTAGGATGTCATTTTATGAGTACACATCTAAAATAAACAATTTAGGCATTTGTTCTATTAGTAGGTACCAGATGGTAATATGCTGTGGGCAATTCTTAGCAGGTTTTCCCTTCCAGGCTAGAAGATGGCATTATGAAGACTCAGAGAAAAGAAAATGTCAATTTCTCACAAAAATCATTCTCACAGAAGTTATTGAGCTAGCAGTGTCATATTTATAGTGTGATATTGTGTTATATGGCTAAATAATTATTTGTAATTACATTTAAAATGTTACCATGGGATTTTATCTCAAACAATCTAGGAAATATCAAAAGATGGAGAGAATGCACAGTCCTTGTACCAAAATGGCCAACACAAAAATATTTCAGGAAGTACCATATGATCAAAAGCTAATGAAAGAAGAAATTCAAGCTGCACTGAAGGCATTGAAAAAAAAATAAGTTCCCAGGAATCGATGAAATACCAATTGAAATGTTTCAAATGACAGATGCAACCCTGGACATGCTCTCCAGGGATGTGATATACTCACCTTGCAGTCTCTGCCAGAAAATTTGGAGGAAAGTTGCTGAGCTGACAGACTGTAAGAGAGCTATATTAGTTCCCATTCCCAAGAAAAGTGATTCAACAGAATGTGGAAATTATCAAATAATATCATTAATATCACATGCAAACAAAATACTGCTGAAGATAATTTAAAAGTTATATAGACAGGGAACTGCCAGAAGTTCAAACTAGATTTAGAAGAGGCCATGGGCCAAGGGATGCCATAGTTGATATCAGATGGATTCTTATTGAAAACATAAAATACTAGAAGAATGTCTATTTGTGCTTCATTGACTACGCAAAAACATTTGACTATGTGGATCATAAAGAATTGTGGCTAACATTGAGAAAAACGGGAATCCTAGAACACTTAATTGGGCTCATCCAAAACCTATACCTAAACCAAGAGGTTATTGTGTGAGCAGAACAAGGGAGCATTGCATGGTTCAATATTGGGAAAGATGAGTATCAGGATTGTATCCTTTATCCATATAAATTTAATCTGTATGATGAGCAAATTATGCTGGAATCTATGTGTAGGACACAACCTTTCTTGCCAAGAGTGAGAAGAACTTTAAGCACTTGCTGCAGAAGGTTAAACAGTGCAGCCTTCACTAGGGACTGCATCTCAACATCAAGGAAACAAAAGTCTTCACCACTGGACCAACAGGCAACATCATGACATGTGGAGAAAAAATTGAAATTGTCAATGATTTCATTTTACTTAGATCCACAGTTGATACACTTGGTACCAGTATTTGGGAGATCAGAAGATGTATGTATAGCACTGGGAAAGTCTAGTCAGGGCCCTCTGCAAATTATTGAGGAGCAATGATGTCAGTTTGAGGACTAAGGTGTGTCTAACCCAGGCCATGGTCTTTTCAGTCAGTAGCTATGCATCTGAGAGCTGGACAATGACTATGGATGACAGAAAAAGAATTGATGCCTTTGGGTTGCGGTGCTGGAGAAAAGTACTGAAGATCCCATGGATTGCCAAAAGAACAGACAGATAAGTCTTGGAGAAGGGGCAGGCAGAATGCTTCTTGGAGACAAACATGATGAAGCTTCCTTCATCTCATATATTTTAGGCCTGTTGCTAGGAAAGATTATTCCTTACAGAAGAACATCATGCTTGGAAAGCTGGAGGGACAGTGAAGGAGAGGAAGACTCTGAACCAGGTGGATTGATACAGTGACTGAAGCAATGGGTTTGAGTGTGTCAGAGATTGTGAAGATGATACAGAATAGGACAAGGTACAGATTTGTTGTTTAATAGAGTTGCTATGAGTTATATTCTACTCAATGGTACCTAAAAACAACAACATAAAAGATTAGTGAAATAGGAAGATGGTTTGTTGGACCATTTAAAAGGAAATTTCTTTTTAAGCTATATTTATAATTTGTGATTAAAACCAATTCTGAGCTTGGAATTCACAAATACAAACTTCTACAAGCAGAAAGGTGGTAAAAATGGGTTTTTAAAAAGAAATTATTTTAATCGTAAAATGTCCCTTCCCTCAAATCCAACTAAGAGGGTTTACTGATAGTCCTTGATTTGGTCAGCTATTTGTTTGATTTAATATATAGGCCATATTATAGCTATGATTCCTTACTACCAGAAATATTTCAGATGTTAAATATGCTCCTTTTAAACTGAGAGCCATATGCTTCTTCGCAAATCAAGTTTAGCATTCCTTGTTGACAAGTCAAATTCCAGTTGAAGAACATCAAATATTAGGATTAAATTTACCAATTCATACCAATTTCTCCATGAGATAAATATTTTCCATTATATACAGTGACATGGAAATTGTTTCCAAGGTACCATTAACGGATTACAGGTTTTTAAGTCTCTCCTCATCTTTCCTTTCTATTTATTATGTTTGTCCTTTATATCTAATTCATTTTACTTTCATTTAAACCCCTTGTATTTGGTTATTATTGTAAATTAAAGATAAGTGATTCTCTTCTACAACATCTCACATTTTAACAATTAGTTAATATAGCAATGAATATTCTCTTCTACAACATCTCACATTTCAACAATTAGTTAATATAGCAATGAATATTCATTGAGCTCATGCTATAGGGAAGATACTGTGCTAGGTACTGGGTTTCAATTACTCAATAAACTTTACAATTAAAAAAGAATTATTTCTTGTTAACTTTTTCAGGGATACTAACAAAACTTGTTTAAGCAGAAATTTTATTATATTTTAAGAATTATGCTAACTGTAATTCCTAGAAGATACCCTAGCAAATAATTATGAGAAATGTCCCAATTTAAAATGCCATTAAACCAGAAACAACATATTTTCCCTTTTTTGCAAATAGCATACCCAGATAAATAATGAGCACAAACTAAAATATGTGTAGACGACAAAATTTTGTACAAATATTTGGCATAGTATGCCTATGCATATATTGTGCATACTTAAAGACGTTTCCAGAAGTTAATTTTTGCCTCATTCATTTTATAGTAAAAAATTATCACTTTTTATCAGATTTGTATAATAAAGTTACAAGCTATAACCAAGAAGTCAGGACTGAGTTTGGAGGTAGCTCTTTAAAGGAAAAATAAATAATTGAAAAAATGAGTTTGTTTCTATTAATTTAACTTAATAACCTTTTAAAATAACTTTTAAAAAGGTATCTGTTTGAGCCTGTCTATAACCCATACTTTATCAATTGGAAGGGTAAATGAAGCGCAGTTGGTGTTGACATACATGATATCAAGTAGCTATCAAAAGGAATCTCATTTTAATCTATATTCATATAATTATCACAGTAATCTTCCAACTCTCATTTTTTAATTGGAAGAGTAAACAAAGCATACTTGACTGACCATCAGTGACTCAACAGTTAAATGCAAAACCTGTTTAGTATCATCTTAAGTGAAACAAATAAGCTATGTTAGGCCTGCTTATTTTATAGACTAATTATGTCTTACTAGCACCAATGTCTTTGATCAAAGAGAATGAGTCACTTTAGCCATATGGAATTCTGTATTTATCACTTCCATCACCATGCCATTTATCTCACAATTCACTGCATTTGGTTTAGAAAAATATTTCCTTCAAGTGAAGTTCCCATGAGATCAGCATTATCCCAGCAACAATTCTATTGTTGGACTGGAAAAACAAACAAACCCCAAAACCAAAAAACCCCAAACACTCTGAAATTAGCAACACATATAAATATTGATACAGGGTGGTTATGAAAATACTATGCAGGGTTGCAAAGTTTGCAAAAATGATGAGTTTCATAGGTGAGTGATTTACATAAAATTTGGTAAATCATAACATTACACTCAGGTCTTCATCGTATCTCAGTGATTGTGTTCCAGTACCGGAATTGTGCTAGCAACCCAAAGGTATTGTAGTTCAAATTAAACAGCTTCTCCATCAGAGAAAGATTGTCATTCTCCTCTTGTGCAATTAACTGCTTCTGAAAACCCATTGGGGGCTCAGTTCCAACTCAATGGCACACAACAAGAAAGTAAAATGTAGGAAGCTCTGCAACCTAGTGGTAAGAAACTGTGCTGCAACTCCTAATGCACATGGTTAGAATCCACTAGTTACTCCACTGGAAGAGAACGGGCATTCCTCTCTCATACTAACTGTCTTTGAAAACTGGCCACAGATTCAGTTATGAGTCGGTTCTGACTTGACTGCACACGACAGCATCAACAAAATAAACAAAGTTGTTCTCTTGTGAAGACAAAAGGAAATGACAATATCTAAGACAAAGAACCATAATTTAATTGGCAGATTGAAATTATCCACTGTAAATTTGGGGGGGAAAATTCCAAAAATTTGTAAAAAGTATTATATAGAAAATAGATGTTTTCAGATGTGTAGATCCTAGTTGATTTTGAGACCTTTTAGAGCAGGAATACTATTAGTTTTTAAATATACTCATGGGCATATTTATGGGTAAGGGGAAAATAACAACTAGTGTTTTTCCTTATGGCTTTGACACAATTGGAAAACAGATCATACCATCTGAAGCATAGTTTATAAAGACAGAAACTAATGTGAAAAAGGGGGGTTTGTTTTGTTGAATTTTGTTTTTAACCACATTTTGACGATGCCTTTAACTTTCACTAGCTAAGCACCTTCAAAACATGGAATGTGCATTTATGAGCACTAAGTTTCCACCAGGAAACTTTGGTGGCCTAGTGGTAAGAAGGTGTACTACATTCCCAAAGACACACTGTTCAACCCCACCAGCTTCTCAACAAAGGAAACAGATGAGCAATATACTCCTGTGCAATTTACTTTCTGTGAAAACCCACTGGGTGGTTAACTATCAGTTGGTTCTGGCTTGACAGGCACACAACAAAAATAGCAAGAAGCTTCCGACATGAGTATTTAAAACAAACAACTAAAAAAACAGTTAAACATATCATCCTCATTTCAACCAAGCTATAATTAATTACAAGAGAAGGAGAACTGTAATTACCTTTGAAAATAAGAAAATTAGAACACGTAAGGAAAATACTATAAGAAAATTGGCTTCTTCCAGGAAAGTGGGAGTGCTTTGTTGTAATGTTGGTTGTCAACACCAGAACATGTGTATTTGGTTTTGATTGCTAAAGAAGAAAAAAGGCTGTGGCCCAGTCCCACCTAGTCCCTGGAGCTCTGTATACTTCTAAGAAAGGTGTTTAAGAGGTCATTTCTTAAAAAATCAACATCATCTGTAATTAAGACATTTACTGCAACCTGCAAGTTTATTAAAGAACACTTGTTGTTGTTATGTGCCATCGAGTCATTTGCGACTCATAGCCACCCTATGTACAAGAGCCCTAAACGCCGTTCTATCCTGTGTCAACCTCAACACCTCAAACATAGTCATTCCTACCACTCCACTTACAGAATCGATCCATCTCATCGAGGGTCTTCCTCTTCTGCATCGTCCCTCCACTCTAACAAACATGAGGTCACTCTCCAAGGACCAGTCCCTCCTTGCACATGCCCAAAGTATGCCAGACGAAGCTTCAGAATCCTTGACTCCAAGGAACATTCTGGCTTCACCCTCTCCAGGACAAACCTGTTTGTTCTCCTAGGAGTCCATGGTTTATTCAACACTCTTCTCCAGCACCACAGCTCAAAGGCATCAATTCCCTTTCTATCATCCCTATTCACTGTCCAACTCTCCAATGCATAGCATGTAACTGCACAGACTACAGCCTCAATCAGGCACACCTTAGTCTCCAGCCTGATGCCGTTGCTCTTCAGAACTCTTGAGAGGTCCCTCACAGCTGACTTTCCCAATGCAATTCATCTCCTGATTTCCTGGCTGCTGTTACCAAGAGTGTTGACTGTGGAACCAAGAAAACGAAAACTGTTAACTATCTCAATCTCTTCACCATCCATACTGATGCTGCCAATTGGCCCAGTCAGTGGTGAGAATCTTTGTTCTCTTGATGTTGAGCTTCAATCCATATTGAAGACTGCAGTCCTTGACCTTCTGCAGCAAGCGCTTCAGGTCCTCCTCAGTTTCAGCAAGCAGGGTTGTGTCATCTGCATAATGCAGGTTGTTGATGATTCTTCCACCAATCCTGATGCCACATTCCTCCTCATACAGCCCAGCATCTTGGATGATCTGTTCTGCCTACAGGTTGAAAAGGCATGGAGACAAAATACATCCCTGATGGACGCTTTTCTTGATTTTGAACCATCCAGTGTCTCCCTGCTCTGTTCTGACGACTGCCTCTTCGTCCAAGTACAGGTTTTGCTTTAGCCCAATCAAATATTCTGGGATTCCCATTCTTCTCAGAGTCAGCCATAGCTTGTTGTGATCCACACAGTCAAAAGCCTTTTGCATAGTCAATGAAGCACAGATAGACATTTTTCTGGTATTCTCTGCTTCCTGCCAAGATCCATCTAATATTAGCTATAATATCCCTAGTACCACAACCTCTTCTAAATCCACCCTGCATATCTGGCAGTTCTCTGTTGACATATTGTTCCAAAGGTTTATGGACAGTTTTCAGCAGAATCTTGCTTGCATGTGATATCAATGATATTGTTTGATAATTTCCACACTCTGTTGTGTCACCTTTTTTGGAATGGGAACAAATACCGATCTCTTCCAGTCAGTTGGCCAGCTGGCTGTCCTCCAGTTTTCCTGGCACAACTTAGTGAGCACATCCAGGGCAGTGTCTGTTTATTGAAATAAATCTATTGGTATGCCATCAACTCCTGGAGCCTTGTTTTTTGCCAATTCCTTCAGAGCAACTTGAACTTCCTCCTTCATCATCATAGGCTCTTGCTCATATATTACTTCATGAAATTCCTCTGTGTCAGCCAATTCCTTCCGATACAGTGACTCTGTGTACTCCTTCCATCTTCTTTTGATACTTCCTGGATCATTCAACATTCTACCCAAACTATCCTTAAGTATTGCCACCCGTGGCTTGAATTTGTTTTTCAACTCCTTCAGCTTAAGAAATGCTGAGCGAGTCCGGCCCTTTTGATTTTCTGACTCCAGCTCTCTGCACATTTCATTATAGTATCTTGCTTTGTCATCCCGAGCTGCCTTTTGAAATTTTCTGTTCAGCTCTTTGATTTCTTGATTTCTTCCTTTAGCTTTGGCTTCTCGGCACTCTAATGCAATACTCAGAGTCTCATCTGACATCCATCTTGGTCTTTTCTTCTTCTTCAGCCTTCGTAATGATCTTTTGCCTTCTTCGTGGATGATTTTCTTGATATCCTCCCAGAGCTCATTTGATCTACCCTCACTGGTGCTCAAGGCTTCAAACCCGTTCCTTAGATGTTTTTGAAATTCAAGTGGGACAGACTTAAGGTCAAATTTTGGTTCCTGTGCACTTGATTTAATTTCCTCAACTTCATCTTGAATTTGCATATGAGTAGTTGATGGTCTGTTCCAAAATCAGCACCCAGCCTGGTTTTCACTGCTGATATTAAGCTTCTCCAGCTAGTCTTTCCACAAATGTAATCGATTTGTTTCCTATGCATACCATCA